GCATCTGGACACATCCCTTGATAAAAAAAAAAAAAGTAAATCAAACGACCACTGTTTCTCGACCACTGTTTCTCGTCATGGCACCAAGGTATACAGCCAGTTCCCTAGCGATCTGGCACACCGACAGCAAGGAACCACTACCAGAGCCAACACCACCAATACCAACACCAGTGCCAACAAGTATATAGCAATCACGTGGCACACAAAACATTCACTATTCCCATCCACCTGCCACGAGTCTTCAGTCTTCACCAGCAACCAACTGGCTGCCAAGTTTTTTTCCAATTATCAACAAACCGGCTGCCAGATATTTCCAAGTATCAGTAAATTATCTGCCAGAGTTATTTTCAATTATCAACAAATTGGCTTCCATAATAATCAGTGTAAATTTCAATTAACAACAAATTGGGCACTAGCGTTGGGCACTAGCGTTACAGTCATTAAGAAACCGGCTACTGGAACTTACAGTATAAGTATAGGTAGGTAACAAGCTTGTTACACGGAGACTCCAGTTACAGGTGAGTGGAGGTAGTTAACCTTGGAAGATGATGGCGAGTTAAAAAGTAAAAGGTAAAAAGTTAAAATAAAAGGAAAAAAGAATGGGGAGAAAAAGGAAGAGGGGGAAGAAGGAAAATGGAGAATGAAAAGGGGAGGAGGAGGAACAAAAAAGGAGGAGGAGGAGGAGGAGGAGGAGGAGTGGTGGTGGTGTTAGTGAAGCCCTCAGAAACCACAACCCGCGTCACCCTCAGTCGAATAAGCCTCTTATTCTCGGCGATGATTAGGCCAACGTCCCCGCCCCTTCCTGACCCCTTTCTCTCACCCACGGCACCTCCCCTCACCTTCTCACTACCACTTATTCCTTCTCCAACCAGATACCTCTCTCCTAAACACTTACTACCCTTGACCCCACTCCTATTACACCCTGACACCCACTCACAATCCTACCCCTATTCCATGTACCACTAATACCCGTCCTTACACCTCCATTAACACCCATCCACTCACCAAAACCCTTCCACCTCCGTCCCAGCAACATCCACTTCACCTCCGTCCTAGTGTTCAACCACCCTACCTTCCACCAGCAACAACCACCCTACCTTCCACCCCAGCAGCAACACCCACAGGCCATCACCAAAGCTTCATACCCTCAACACCCTGCCACTCAACACCACCAAAGCTTCATACCCTGCAACACCCTGCCACTCAACACCACCAAAGCTTCATACCCTGCAACACCCTGCCACTCAACACCACCAAAGCTTCATACCCTGCAACGCCCTGCCACTCAACACCACCAAAGCTTCATACCCTCAACACACCACAGCCAGCACCTCAACAATGTGGGTGAACGGCCTAAATTATCTTATCACGGTGCAAATAGTTCATAACCACCTGGGATTTTGCATCAGGATAGAGAGAAGAGGATGATGGGGGTGAGGAGGAGGTGGACTAGGAGAAGAAATGAAGAGAGAGAAGAGAAAGAGAGCGTAAGAAAAAGAAAGGAGGGATGGAGTAGGAAAAATGAGAAACAGGATAAAAAGGAGATGACGCAGAAGGAAACTAACAAATCAAAGAGTAACATTAAAACAACAAGAAGAGGTGATGAAGGACTGATGATGCTCTCTCTCTCTCTCTCTCTCTCTCTCTCTCACCAACTAAACTAATAACTTCCTGAGCCCATCTGTAACACAACACAGACATCTCTAGGAAGGACCGATATTAATCGCTGGCTTCCTGGACGCTGCCTGGTTCACGAGGAAGTGACCCGTGCCAACACAACAACAGAAAGGGGAACGAGGGGGGAGGGGGGGGACAGGAGAAGTCCCGCTCGTGCTGGCAAAACGGTGACGATTGACAAAGAGAAGATCCCAGGAGGTAAATATGCATTAGCTCAACTTTATGTTTACGTGTTACTCCTCACCACCTGACCCAGATTCTAAATCCGGATTCTCAAAAGATCCTGGGGGTAAAACTGTTCATCATAATATAATACTCGGGGAAGGGAGGTTGCACACATCAAACAAGGTCGGAAGTCTTATACTAATACACTACACCTCTGAATGACCCAGATTTCTGCCACAACACGGATTCTCTAAGATTGGTAATTTGACATTCTCCTCATAAGACAAACTGTATACCACACGGGGTCAGCTGGCTCGACCTGCGGTAATACACTCTGGCACCAGTTTAGCCCGGGACTCTTGATTTCCAACACCTCGTACGGTTATGTTTTCCTCGTAATCCAGGGAAGAAAAAGATATATCACAAGAGGACAGTTGGTTAGCGTAGATACATTGATGTTCATTGCCTTGCATAAATTCACAGACGCCTTTTTTTTTCCTTTCTGAGTGAAGACAAAAACGCGTTATCTACTTAAGGTGGGGTCTTAGTGCAATGTCAGAGCCCCCCCCCCCCTTTACTGCCATCTTTTTGCCATAACTTCTTTAACGAAAAACACATACTGTTTTACTTCTTTCCCCGTGAGGCAAATATAACACTTCTTTCCCCGTGAGGCAAATATAACACTTCTTTCCCCGTGAGGCAAATATAACGTTCGTAACTTCGTACCCTAAAAGAATTCGGGAAATGGCCTTCACGTGATCCAAGGAGGCTGTCTCTAAATCTTAAGGACATGGGGAGAAAATATGTCAGTCCGAGATTGTATCGTACTTCCCAAAATAATCAAGTTATGGGTGTAACTACGTGAGGGTACTACCAGTGGGCCACCGTGTCTAGACTACCTGAAGGAGAGGGGTTCCCAGTTCCTCACCTGCGGGGCCGTGAGTGTGGGGGTGGAGTCACTTTACTCACGGCCTCGTTGGTGTATGACTTGACACTCACTCGCCCTGGTTGTGCCGTGTGAACAGAGAGCATGTGATAAGCGTGCTTGGTGGCCTCCTTCACACACACACACTCACTTGTCAACACATTACATCATCATACATGCTACACTCACTTCACAACACACATACACACACGTAGGTTCAGCGAAATCCACTACTTTATTAATTATTCCGAGACGGACTCGCACTTTCTATGGAGGCAGAAATGACCCATAACTGACGGACTCGCACTTTCTATGGAGACAGAAATGACCCATAACTGACCTATAACAACTCCCCTATAACATGAGGGAAAATACTAATTATCTGACATGCCCAAATATGGCGACATTAATCACGTTCACTTCAGTTTCTCGTAGAGCTACAACACGTTCGTAACTATCCCAACACACGAGCGTACAAAAGAAAGGTATTCCCCAGGCCCTGTCTTGTTACGCAGCGGGGGAAAATAAGAAAGTTAATCAAATTTCCACACCGAGTATTTCCCGCTGTCAAGCAATCCAATTTATGCCAACCCTCCCGTGTCTGATTGTTTATGTCTCTACGTCGACTTACACAGTTCAACATAGACCAACGGTACCTGAGCAATTGTGTCGCCAGGGATGTTATTACCACAATCAATCAACCAACATTGACCAACTCTCTAATCCACATGAACGTTACATTAAAAAATATATAAATAAAAAAAAAACATGAACTTGAATCAGTCAGGAATACTGAAGCCAGGGTAAAGTTGCCAGCCAGGACGGAAATTGAGCTACTGTCGTCACTTCCCGTAGTCGCTCGCCCGGTCCACACCCTATACACTCACTCACCCTGACACCTTACACCCCGCAACACCTTCCTCTTGCCTGCCATAATACGGAATAATCTCATGCCCTCACTCAACGTCGTGTATAATAATTTCAATGCAAAAACCTATTAAGAAAAGGAATATAAACGGGTACATTGCATAAAGGTTTACTCTAAAGTCCCCAGGGAAGAAAGTTACACCACAAGGCTCGACTACAATGCTCCTCTCACCCACAAGACTCATAATTGTTACCATCATACAGCTGAGGCTTTCCAGATTATCCCCATCAAGACGTTTCACAGTACAACTCGACTACTTAAAACAGACAAGTATTTTAAGTCAACAAAGCGACACGAACTTCCTTATCACACCAGGGACCTCCAATATATACAACAGAATACCTACAAGAGCCAAAGGGACTTATCTCACTCGCCCAGTACACGTGTCACATATACCTACTGTGTTCCCTTCTATGTCAAAGGTAATTTTCAGTTTATAATTATGTGCTTCAACGAGCCATCCACAACACCCCAGCCGAGGTCTCAGTGGGACTCTTTTCTGTAATGTTGTATGACAATTTCACCGATAATCAAGAAGCGATAAGTTCTCTCAAGATGGCCACCAGGGCAGCCATTTTAGGCGATGACATATCATCAAATTACGGGGGACGCAGCTACACCAGGAGAGAATAATTCCCAACTATTTGCACGAAAGTAAAATTGCAGTTTGTGATGACGTTACAAAAACTGGTAATGGACAATGAACCAAGAGCTAATAAAAAAAATCATGTTGAAATTTCCAATTACATATAACACTTCCTTACTGATCATTATAATCATACCAAGGGCAAGAACGCACAAGTGAAACGGTCAATACACTAATTCAGGTACATATTAACTACCGTGATGCTGGGGACATGAATAGATTGGTACCTTAGTCTCTACGAATAATTTTCAATAGTTCAGAGGTTATCTATAAATAATATCGTCTTGTGTATTCTAAGTAAAGCAAATGTGATCCTGGGGACTTTATTTGAACATATGTGTCGTCTTTCACAATACACACAACCATCACTCTGCCTGACCCCGCAGCTTAGACGACTTTTTCCAATGTTTTCATAATCAGTGCATTTGAAGCCCCGCCCTCAGTCTCTCCTGGCGGATCAACAACTTCACCTGAACATATCTGAATCCCCATCGCCCAAGGATACTTCCTGTTTAGACTAGCTCAAACTGGCCCTGTGGCTCTTGAGAAGAAGTCGTTCAAAGAAAAACTTGACGTTAAGACAAACTAACAGACAGAAAGACAGATAGACGGACGGATACCACGACCACCTGACCCCAGCTTAAAAATCGACTACTTACAATACATGAACACCCGGAGAGGAAGACAATCAGGACCCCTGGCTACTGGCTCCTTACCTGAAAGAAACAAGAGAATATTATTAGCATAACTCACCACAGTCACCCCATCCACAATGCTTGTTCTGACACACACACACACACACACACACTAAACTCCAGGTGAACCACAACTCCCTCCCCAATCCCAACAATTGGTGTAGTATAAATTAGCCCACTTATTACTTTCTACCTGCCTTTCCCACGACCGTCTACAGGTAACTGGGATATTCTCCTCTCTCTTACACACTTTCTTTTGTAATTGTGAAAAGAAAGAAAAAAAAGATTTACTCCGTTTTACACCAAGGGAGACGGGGAAAATAGAAGGAAAGGAGAGAGGGTGAAGAATAGAAAATTTAAAAACTTAATAAATAAAAAAAAATGAGAAAAATGATAAGATAAAAGAGGAAAAGCGAAAACGATAAATCATTAAAGAAAAATAGAGAGAGAGAGAGAGAGAGAGAGAGAGAGAGAGAGAGAGAGAGAGAACGACGGTAGCGCAATGTATACAACCTACCATAAACTTTTCCTCATCTGTAACGAAGATTTGTCCACGGCTGTCTAGTCATTACCGCAAACTTTCTCAATCTTACTTGGGTGGATCGGTATGGTGGCGTTGTATGGTGTGTTGTTGTAGTGTGGTGTGTGGGGGTGTAGTGGTTGGTGTGGGGGGTGTGGTAGTGTGGTAGTGGTGTGTGGTAGGTAAGTTGGTGTGGGGGTGTAGTGGTTGGTGTGGTGGGGGTGTGGTAGTTGGTGTGGTGGGGTGTGGTAGTTGGTGTGGTGGGGGTGTGGTAGTTGGTGTGGTGGGGGTGTAGTGGTTGGTGTAGGGGGTGTAGTGGTTGGTGTGATGTTGTAGAGTTGTGTGGTATAGTGTTATGTTGTGGTGTTTTAGTGATATGTTGTGGGTATGGTTTTGTGGAGTTGTAAATTTGTGGTGGAATAGAATGATATGTTGTGGCGTATGGTGTTATGTGATATGGTGTTGTTACGGGGTGTTATGTGGGGATGTTGTGTTGTAGGGTATTATAGTGTAGGGTGTGGTGGAGTGGTGATGCGTTGTAGGGTGTGGGATGGGTTGTGGTGGTGTATTGATTGTTCGGGCGTGGGGTGTGGTTTGGAGTGCTGTGGTGTGTAGTAGTAGTAGTATCAATCAATCACTATATCCACGCACATCCTGAACACGTGTAATCTCTTTCTCTCTCTCTCTCTCTCTCTCTCTCACTGTATAATTACCGCCCACTAAACTAAGGCGAGTTTCTCCACCTTAGACATATCTCGTTCTCTTATTAAATTATACAACGCGTCGCGCCTCCCAGCCTTTTCCAACAAGGTTAAAAAACACAGTAAATAACTAATACTTTTTCTTGTGTTGGCAGAAAGCCGAATGAGGATTAAGCTAGGACGAAAGTAAACATCAGCTCAGCTTTGCCGTGTACTGCCTTCACGGGTTTAATCTGGTTAATCTGGTTTAATCTGCATAGTGAATTTGGTAAATATAGCACACAGCCAGATTGAAAAATGTTATGCTTTCTCGTAAAAATCAGGATGTAAGCGTAGTGTAACAAATATAGACGCTACTAGACTGCTAACTGTAGTTGTTTGTGAAGAACTGAGGAGCAAATTGGATAACAAGAGGAGCTGTACCGTGACCTGGCTCTATGAACAGCACAACACACTGCAGTCCACCACATGAAGAACGAGACGCAAAAATATAGATGAATGGATGTGACGAACGACAACTAACACGCGTAAATGTATCTACAGTTAAGCTGAATACACTGTACGTCTGTATGACTGTCCTTGTGTGTCCCCGGGTAGTCATTAAAGAAGCAACACATTTATTACAAGTGTCACACAATATCATGTCTGACCCGGGAAGGAAAACTTTGTAACAAGAAAACATCACCCGCTCGAGTCATCAACAGCAGCAGGCGCCGCCCTCCTCCGCCCAGCTCATGGAAACTGTGTCACATCAACGCCAGACGTCCTTCGGCCGCCTGCAGTGGTGCTCTTTAATGGTTGGAGCCCAAACCTTTAACCGGTGCGACTTACCACAATTCAAAACACTCTCCCTCCCTCGATGCTCATTCATGTAGAACACATATGAGAAAACGAGACACGCGTCAAAGAATTTGCATGCGACACGTCCAAGGTTGAGCACAGGCAGCTACTAAAACTCACGGGACCACGAGTACAAAAGTTCAATTATCGTCACATGTCATACAAAACTTTTTTTTAGGACAAGACATGAACTGCATGCAACGATCCGGTGAACACTCCAGCCTGAAACTTTTACCAGTCAGCGCCCATGACGTCACTCATGCGGGGCCTTGTATTACACACAGGTAGACTACAAGATGGATTAATTTCCCCCGTTTCTTAGGATAATTGTGAGCTAGTTGGGTTTTTACCATAAGTAGGTATGGATATGTTTACACTTGTAAATAATGTCTTTCCTGATTCTTTCAAATCTTTAATAAAAAAAAATCGAGCAACTGTTGTGGTCGATCAAACTGTGAAGGACGTCCTTCATCACACGCTGAAGGACAGACAGGTTGAGTGATATTGAGAAAGTTTATTCAGAAGCACCAGTAAAGAAAAGGTACAGATTTTAAAGCACGGTTACCATAATTCACCACATTATCATATAGGTAGAGCCATAACTATAAACGTACCTCAAAATATTCCTTAATCCAGTCCCATTACATCACGAGACGTAGAGGAGTAATGATACAATGATTAACATAAGTACTGTGAACTTATCATTAACCTGGTGCTTAAACCTTGTCCTGATAATGGTGTACTTACAACCTAGACGGGATATAACCTATTCAATAACAACCTACGCAACTATGAACACCCTACGCTGGCTCAGAGAATAAGTATAAAATGGGCTAAGAATAACGGAATCAGCCAAGTCTAGGTGGAAGTCCTTCAGCTGTCACTAAAAGAGAGTAGGAGTGAAGCAGAGGCACCTGTTATGGTCGTGTGGTAAACGTGATGGCCTTAGTGTGGCAGCGTGACCTCGGGGGACTGTTACAAGCTTCCCGTTATAGGCTCCCAGCTGAGTCACACACACACACACACACACACACACACACACACACACACACACACACACACACACACACGAAAAAAGTATGTTACTGTCTAATGAAACTCATCCACCATCCAATCAAGTCTTGCTTTTTTTTAGTAACTATTTTCAATTTTGTTTTTAACCATGTGTAATAAGGTGTAACTCCTGCGTACTCAGCTAAGGTTCCTCCCCTGTAACACCCCGACCCACCCCTCTGTTCTCATTTCCTCCCTCACTCCACTTCCCTTCCCCTGCTTGTGAACATTAATTTGAATTTCCCCTTCCATTATATAGGCTCGTTACCATCACCTTAATCCTTCCCTTCTACGCTTAACTCTTGAATCACACACACACACACACTCCTACAGGTACTCACGTTCCTGTATCGACTGTAGGCTAACCATCGTGTCAACTCCCTTGTCGGCCCTCTCACCACTGATCTCTTCTCCCTCCCTCCCTTCCTCCTTTTCTTCTTCTTCCTCTTCACATTCCTCAAAAAAAAAATAATGGGTTGAGTTTACTGGTAACCTTATTGTTCCTAACCCCTCACCTCTTAATCATCTTATTCCTCTTCCTACTGTCTTATCTTCCCCTTGTTATTATTCCTCTTCCTCTCTTCTACCGCCCTTTATCTACCTTCTTTCTCCTCTCTTCTACCTTCTATGCTACTGAACTGCCCAAAAACCACCAGCTGATTACCACTCCTTTCTCACCACTACTGACCCCCTGGAGGCCGGACCCTACACTGCTCCTCCCCCCATCGCTCCCCCTCCCGCCACACACAGCCGCATTAATCTACCAGGCTCCGTGCGCTCCACTTCTCTCCCCCTCATGACGGGATTTGAGACTATGCTCTCTGTCTCTCTCGCCCTCCAGGTTGAGAGAGAGAGAGAGAGAGAGAGAGAAAATAGGCAAGAGTTTCTCAGGAAGTTTTGTCACGAGGACCGCCTAGATCCACCGATGTTTTCCTCCTACATTTAACAGTTTCCACATGGTCATTACGGGTTGGCTGAGAGAGAGAGAGTTGAAGGCCTCTGATGTCAACCAAACCTTCTGAATTAAATCTGTCGCCGGATTGTTTCAAGCGCTTCAAGCAGGCACACCTATTTCTCCCTGGGTGTGTTGTGTATACTCACTGGGTGTGTTGTGCACTCCCTGGGTGAATTGTGTACATTTTGCAATATTCCCCCCCTGCCAGAGCATCATTGTTTTTAGACGTACATTAACGTGGCGGGGAAGGGAAATGCAGGGTGTTGGAGGGGAGGACTTCAATTCAATTCAAGGACTTAGGCGTGTGGTTGAGGTGGGGGAAGGAAAGTCAGGCAGGCGTATGACGGAGGTGAGTGTTACGTGTGAGGGGCGGTCACACTCGGGTCCTCACACCTCCCACTTTCACTTGGCAGAACACATAACAACACTCCCCCCCCCCCACCACCCTCGCATCATTTCCTGCTCTCTCTCACACACACAAGTCTCCGTACCTCCCTTCACATATTTCCTTTGATGTCAATAGTCTTCTACTGTTTTTACTCTTCTCTGTTTCTCGTCTGTGCTAATGTAATAAATTAATTTGGTATGTGTCCCCTGTGCAAATACGATACATTAGCTTTGTATGTCTCGATTCCCAGAAGATTGAAAATAATTGAGTGATTCATTTAAATACACATACAGCTAAGTTTAACAGATCTTCAGTTTATATCTAATTTATACACTGTACTGCACTCAGACCCGTATGCATATCAAGGCTTCTAAACTTTCAGAATCAGTTATGACAATATTTCATGATGGCTTTGCTAGACGTCTATATGAGTGACTATTTGTTTATACGTTTAAGTTGCAGGTAAAAATTAGTTACTTATGGCACCTGGTTTACGATCATATTACAGGTAAATTATTGCACCAATACCTAATATCAAACTCAGAATTTATGCTAAAGTTTCTC